TGGTACAACCAGCTGAACCAATCTACAGGGTACCACTGGAAACGATTGCTGTATTGTTTTATGATACAGTACGGAGGACAAGGTGAGTCAGTGGACAGACAGTGTTACCTCGCGCGGAAGCAATCCGATGAAACCCAGCTGGAGTTCTTGCATCGTCTTAATATCGCAACCAAGGATGGCCAAGATCGCGATTAAAGAAGAAAGACTGGCTACATTGGCTACGCATCGCGAGTATGTGGAACACTTCATTTCTACGCTAGACGATCACGATCTGGCAAAACAGCTGACCTTACTGCAACTGATGGATATTGATAAAATGGAAGAAACTCTCCGTGCGTGTCTAGGAATGGAAATCTTCAGATGTAACCGTCAATAAGATCAAACAAATTACATCAGCAAGAAATCACACCTGCAAATCCGATGGCGTCCAAGACGACTCGAGTGGTGCGGGCTATCCGCGAGAAAGTCAAGAGCAGCGTATCGGAACCGGGTCGATTGGATCCGAAGATGAAGTAGATCGTCGTTGTGTTTATTGTATTAACTACACCCAACCAGGATTAACCGAACAAGGATCATCGAACCTGGCAGAAGAACACTGGTGAAGGAGAAGGAAGTGATCGCAGTGAACGATCGAAGGTGTGTACCCTTTGTGGATCTACCATACAAGATGATCGAGGGTGCTGGAAGATGTTAAGTGCCATGAACGTGGTCGCAACGGACATCTCTGTGAAAATTGTTTCTTTGTGTGTACAGTCTGCGGGTAGATACACGAGAGTGGCAGTGTTCATGGAACAATTTTTCAATTCGGTCTGAAAGTGGTTCGTGCCTACGAAGCATTATGGAATGTTTCCGCATAAGGTGTAGGAAATATTAAACTAGAACGCTAGCCAGGTTGTAATCTGGCACGAGCCAAGCCTCCGGATATGCATTTATACGTCTGTTGAAGGACCACGGGGCTATCAGGAGGTTAACGATCGGATCGCTTATGTGCATAAAAATTCTACAATGGTCTTGTCAATATCATTTGTGAAGAGAGTGGATGATTACGCCCGATTTCCTGTGAAGATGCGCTCGACCTCGCGCCAGGGGCATCTTGTGCATATTGGAAATATCATACACCTGGGATATGGTTCAAGAAAGCAAAAGCGTTGGGCAAGATCAATAATGAGAAAGCACAATGCTGTTCGACTCCGGCGCTGAAGTGTCGATCCTTGATACTACTTTTGCGCGTTAGGTACGATGTGTGAACGATGACAGTCAAACACAAGAGTGTGTCGAAATTGGAGAGAACACGTATATGGCGGTGTGGCGCACGAATATTAAGATCACTTTGAACGTATCGTTGGTTTATTGTTTCAACGTTGATGATCAAGTCGGACAAGAAGTCATACCATGTATGGATGGTTCCAGCAGGCATACGTTTCGCCCTGACGAGGTGCGAATTGGTTTGACAGCACGGAAGCCACATTATCGATCGCCCATACAGGCGATTAACCTGAATGATTAACATGCGGTCCAACCGGTTGGCACATCAACAGAAGTACGTATCAAGGGTGGCCCACCTAAGGCTAAGCTTTGTGTGAGGCGAGACGTGGCGCGGATGCCGACAGTCACTAGTGGGCCCGGCCAGATCAAGTATTCAAAGATCACGAACCTCAGCTATCGTTAAATATTGTTGAATTATGGAGCTTTGTTGTCTTTGTGGATGACATCGGAAATGATACCTAGATTACTAGGGTATGCATCGATCGTGTCATGGTGGTATACAGAATGGCAAATGCTAGCGTTTGAAGCGACTACGGAGTGAGAGGAAGAGATAGTGGAAGAGTTTGCAAGGCCTTTGGTGGATCATCCTGTGTATGAAATGCCTACTCGAATTCTACCCCGCCAAACGAGAGAGATATCGGGGAAGGACATATCGCAACCAGACCAAGAAACGACCAAAGGAAGTGAGAGTCAAGAATAAACCACGGACAGAAGTCACTTGACGAGAAAGGATCAACGATCAACAGAAATACCTTCTGCGATCTACACAATCAAGGAGGCCGTAGACGCCAATCGAGGACGAGACCAGCCTGGTGAAGCGATTGAAGGAGTGAAGGCGATCGCGACGGAAGAGATCAGACATGGGTCAGCTGATCCGTTTCACAAACGATCCATTCATCAGTCAGATGCGATCGCGATGGAAGATGGTTCAAATCTTTTGAGCTCGAAATATTCCTGAAACTTTATGACGAAATTCAATTCGAATTGCATTCAAACGTGCGTTTAAGAACTTTGTTGCATAATCCATCAGGTGGGGGCGATTCGTTTCTATATATAGACTCAATGAATTTGAATTATCCGTGAAGATGCGGATCTCTATAGTAAGACGGAAAGACCCCGTGAACCTTTACCCTGAATAAATAATTACAATTTGACCTTCAACAGATAAAGGAATGTTATAACCATCATCAGTTTTGGCTTTCAATTTGCTTTTTTAATTTTACTGAAAACGATTGAAAAATCTGTTCTTTGTCTAATTGTTATTAGTAACAAACGCAAAAGGTGCTCTTTTACATTTGATATTCAAACAGTAATACTAGCATTTTTAAGATGTAATTTCATATTAAAAGTATCTTTTAGAGATTATTTTTCCTGTTATTGAATTCGATTTCTCTCATGTTCTAATTCAGCAAAATGATAAATCACCTTATACATGACTGCATTTTATAAGTCTGCTGCATCTATAAGTCGGCTCTTATAAAATGGATCTAAGATTAAGTTTAAAACATGCTGATATATTGAAAAGTTGTTCTTTAAAGATATTGGCCAATTCATTTGTTAAATTTACTTCAGCATTTCTAATGTATTTCTTCGATTTACATACTCAAGAAAATTTAATTTACTTAGTTGTGATATTCTATTTTTCATAATAGGCAGTGTATGAAATAACATTTAGAAAAAAGGTTACAAATACTATTACTGTTAATACTAAATAGATCTATCAAACTGACATGTCGTAAATGTAATTTTGATAAATGACAATACATTTGATGCTTTTTTATAAAGTACATTCTACATTAATACAATGTTTAAAATTGCACTAAAAAATGTATTTCAAATAACACCCTAAAATATTTTTTTTATAAGCACATTCTATACTAGTACAATATACACAAATGCAGGGTCGAAAAAGGCATTTAAATAACATCTAATTATTAATTGATTTTTTTAAAAGTACATTCTAGACTAAAACTATATTCACAAATGCATTGTCGAAAAATGCATTCTAAACAACATCTTTTTATTCTGTGTTCCTGAAAAAAGTACACTCAATCCTAAAAATTTTTTACAATAACTATTTTCAAAAAGACAATTATCAAATTATCCATCAAGTTTAGTGTTTTATAGAAGTGCATACAATACAGTCACAGCATGTATTAGAGCATTATATAAAGTTTTTTTTTGTTTTAACCAAAAAACCGTTTTTAAATAGTCCTTTGCATAATTTCATTCGATTTTGTAGTTATTTGAGGATCGGATTATCAAAGCGATTTCATTTTTTTATCGTTGTGTATCTTTAAGGCTCGGTTTATCCTCTCCTTTTTTAATTATTGCGTTTGAATTCTGGATTCAGCCGAGTTTGATTTGGACCTACAACAACAAACCATTTGTGTTTATATCGTAATTTACTGAACGACCTCCAAATTGTAATCTTCACAAAGAAAAGTCGACAACATTCAAAATTGTTGAAACCTTTTGGTTTTATTGCACATATTGTATCGTAGCGGATAAAATTTAAAAATTGAAATGTCATAAATTAGTAAAGGGCTTCGGACATTGATTGGTACATCCCTCTAATGATTGGCGCGCCTGGCATTGCTTTTCCGTGTGTGACTACTGTAAGTTTGTAAACATTACCTCCTGCGTTATAGTGACTAATTTACCGTTACAAGAATGAATCACTGTTAGTCCATTTAAACCGAAATGTAAAATTGAGTTTTATGTATGATTAAATAATAAATAAAGACTAATGAAAAATGCAGCTTTGAATTTGAAAGGTTGCTCTTATGAAAATGAGAGAAATGTTTGACGTTGTGATGGAGAACTAAATTCATGTGGAAGATATCAGAGAAAAAACTGGCGTTAGTAACAACAAAGGGAAGTTGAGAGCATCCCGATAATAAATCGAAGCAAATCGTACGAAAATGAAACACCTTCTCGTACTCTACACTTTCTTTTTCATTTAAATGCACTAATTAAATTATTTCGAACAACGTGTAAAAATGTTAATGCGGATACTAATAGCAAAACAACTTATGACCTAGTTTCTGCACCACTTTTTCATTCTTACTATTACTGTTACAAGTCCAGATTCAAATATGCAAATATTATATGCTTGACTAATTTAATGTATCTTATATCATGGTCGGTTCATTTATAATGCTGCAAGGTATTTTGAAACGAAACGGATAAGTTCGATTTTCGCTAGACTAATGAAATGCTCTCATTCGAATAATTATTCTGACTAATTCAATATAAACAAATTAAATAAAATTGATGTAGCTGACTTTTTAGATGGGTCGCAATCGTTTCGCAAAATAAGTAATCAGCCTGAGTTAGTAATTATCAATTTTCTAGTCATTGTAACTTTTTAGACAACTTGCAGCTTACTTAGTATGCTATAACACTACCTAGTCAAATAGTTAAACAAAATCATAGGTCTGTGAATGGCTTTTTGAAAAATCATTTAATTTTTTTTCAAATTTGGTGATCACATTGTAGAAATCGCATATCAAAATTATGAAAATTTGTCCAGATATAGGTTTGAAAGGCGCACATACTAATTTAACATAGATTGGATCGGTCAAGTTGTTATTTATTTGATTGACTTTTAATAATAGGCCGATCGACTGGTCCGGGACTACGGATTGGCGAACACCGTGAGACCTCCAATAGTAATCGATGCGATCGGAACCAGGGATGAGCGTGATCGAGTAAGAGATCAACGGACACCAATGGGATACGAATCGAGCAACATTGAGGATAACGAGTATGAAGGAGATGATTCAGTCCATAAACAGTCCAGTCATCAGCCTGAAGGGATTAAGAGCGAAGATTGTGAGCTACAAGACCAGGCCGATCGACGGGCGGAAAAAGTGGGCAATGCCAAGATTGAGGATGAAACATAGAGATATGATTAAGCGTCAACACCGAAGTGTTACCGTGATGGTAAAAAGTTGCTCGCGGAAGATGTGGATCAGCACATAGCAGTTCTTCCCGAAGTGGTTACGCCCACACAAGATTCAACAAATGATGATATTCAAGTAGGCGACACCGGCACCCCAAGAACCGAAGATCAAGAGAAGTGCGCCAAATGATTTAGAAGAGTCGGTATCTACTTATTGGAAAGGTAAACGCCCTACCTCTTGCGGCGGTAAGCAGTTTGTGACACCGACGTGGGAGGAGCTAACCCGGTCGCACAACGGGTCCGACCGGTAGCACCGAAGTTCCGATAAAACTTGCCAATCTATTCAAGGGATTATTGTCAGCCAAAACCATTCAGCCATCTACATCACCATGGGCGTCCCCCACAGTTGTGATCATCAAGAACAACGGAGAAGACATAAGGCTGTGGATTATTTACAGGCGGGTGAACCAGCTGACTTGGTTAATAGTATATTCTATGCCACTGATCAGTAATCTATTGCGAGACATAATTTAAACTATGTGGCACTTCTATCTAGACATGGAGAGTGGTTTTTAGGTAGTGGAGTTGACGAAAAGAGCTGGGGTGATATTAGCCTTGATTACACCCTCAGGGTTGTTTAAGTGGTAAAGGATGCCTTTTGGGTAAAATGATGCTCCACAGATTTACCAAAGTTTGATCGATAACGCTCTGTATGTGTATTTGTAAATCGACGTAAAATCTGAATCGACCACGGAGGAATGGCCGAAGTTGATCAAAGTCTTCACTGGTACTGAACCAGATACTGATACAAAACCATCAGAGTTGCGTCAAAGATCTTACATTAATGACATATTAGATACCAGCTACGTCGTGGAAGTGTAACGGGGTAGCCAGTTACATGATTTTTACACCAAACGGTGTCAACAGGGATATTGTCTGGCATGACAATATCCTACCAACATTATCCGAGATGGATAATATGAAAGAATTCTATTCCCTTTGTAGGACATTATTCCTGCGCTGCTCAAAGATTGGTTGATAAAGACGTATCAACCAAGGTTACCACCAATCGCTGCTAGACGCGCGCAATGAGTGGTGAGCAGGTTGTCGTCATACGACGACGTAGTTGGACATACTTAGATAAAGACTAAATAATATTAATAGCTCAACTAAGTCAAATGCAGCTGTCTTTTTACCCTTAACTCAACATAGCTGTTGCGTAGATTAGCTTCCTCTGCATGTACTAGTGTACGTGAAGTTTCGTGGCAACCCAAACATAGGGTGCCCCGTAACAGTAATGCCCTGTTTGAGAATGTGAAGAGATTGGAGGTGTGTTGAAAGTTAAATCTGTCCAGTGTTTGGCCAAACGTTTTTGGGGGCGTCAAAAACATAAATATTTGGAACAGCTAATTTTGCTTGCAGGATTGGAAGCTAATCCGAAAGATCTGGGCTCGTTTGTGAATAGCACGTTCCTCGAAATCTGCGACCGAAGTAGTCATTTTCAAGAAGTTTCAGCTATTAAAGTAGATTCATTGATGACGTCGCAGTTTACGCATCAGTGTTGTACGAGAGGCGTGAGCATATTTCCATGAGATCAACCGCGTGAGTGAATTTCCAAAACCTATTTTTTTGCAAGACCTGATACTTTTACGACGGTAGTGTAGGGGTAGATTGTGATCGGTGCCCGAAACATGAGATCGATGTCAATTGGCATCAAATCGCAGGGGACAATTGCGCTCCCGAGGGAAGTAATTAATGGGAGAAGGCAATGATCGCATTCACCCTGCCAAAAGTTTAAATATCCACAACTGCAATCTTAAAGCATTTCGATCCCGATCGATCGACTGTGATTGTGGTGTATGCTAGCAAGTGGGCTGTATCAGCTGCTTTGCTTCAAGAATATAACGGTGTATTTTGGCCTGTCACTTTCTCGAATCGTACGCCAAAGTCCAACGAGGTCAACTATGGGATAGTGGAGGAAGAAGTGTTGGCTCTCCTCCGGATGCTGGATGTCTGGTATAGTATGCTATATCCCGTGAGGTTACGGCGGGGGCGCTTACGCGATATTCGCCATTAGCACGGCCACTACAATGTTCAGGAATTATCAGATGATTGAGAAGATGGGATGCTTTATTAGTCAAGGTGATTAATGTAAAACTAGGCGATCTGATCAGAGATAAGGTAAAGTATTCGGCGTGTTTGCGGCAAGTACTGATTGCGGTCGACTCGAGGAAGCAGCCAAGACAGATGATGAGCAAGCCCCCACCCAACGTAGGTATTATAAAAACCTGCTGTCAGCCAGTTTTGATGGATCAGACAGGGTGAAAAGAAAGGGCGCAGCATACAGCGCAATTACATGGAAACTACCGGAATGGACAATAGTGGCTGCCGCTTCCGAGTGTACCACTGATTTACCGTGAATGAAGCAGAATAACGAGGGATGCTCCTGACTTTCTATCTGCTTACCGATCAGGCAAGGGACGGGTGACTATCTGCGGAGATTTGAAGTTGGTGATCCGTCAAATGCGAGAAGAAATCGACTTTAATCACCAGGACTGCAGTTGCTGAAGCATAATGCTATGAAGATATATCGGCCGTGGCCAGCTTACGAGGGCTTGCCAACGAAGCGGTACTGGAATCAGAGTGCAGATGGACTGGCGAGTGATTCTCTGCAGCAAGAGAAAGGGACAGTTGTGGTTTCCGATCATGATCGTCAGTACCTGGTAACTCTCAATCGTTTAAACGAATCAAAACAACTAGAACGAGTTGATCGGGCCGTCAAAGTAGCGGCATTCACCAAACAGCGCAAGGAAGACGTTGTCAGCCCAGGATTTTACCGGAAGAGGTCGTGCAGAAGATACGGATTGGTCGTAATTAGCAAGGACAAGACGAAAAAAACTGGTTTTATGTCGATTGAAGATACATCTGGTTGGAGACGTGAATTATTGGCTGCTGAAGCTAAGGTATGCGCTCTGATTGTACCGGACTATGAAGTAGACCGAAGTGGGCTGCTACTTTTCTGTCCAAGATTGGCCACAAAGATGGAAATTGTACTGAACTGGCTCGTTAGGTGGTTTCAAAACAGTTAGAGCGAGACTTCTTGCACCACTACCACGCAAATATAAAGGTTTTCAGCCAGAAATCGTCCGTACCTATCAGTGGATCAGGGCGAAAGCCCATTGACGTGGGCTGTACCAAAGTGTGCAGCGGGATGTAGGATAGTGTACAGATTCTTAAACGGAAAAAGGAAGGCCGGAAACCGAAGTGGATCACCTGGTAATATGCAATAGGCTTACCTTTTTAGATAATAGCTATAGATCACATCTATTCGTTGCCAAGATCTTTGAGAGGGAACACCAAGCTGTTGCTTTTGTTTCAATTCAATTCCAAGATATGTGATTGCAAAGGCAAGCTAGTCCCAATCTGCCCAGACGATCATAGAAACTTACGAGAAGTGTGTGTCCAGACAATTCGGTGCGAGCGAGGCGATAAGTCATGATCGTGAGCCGGGATTTATGTTGGATTTCTTTCGATCATTTAATCGGATTGCGGACCAAAGACAATGGGCCATTATGGCGCATAGATCGCAAGATAATGGTTCGCCCGAACGCATGGTGGAGACGATGACTCGATCGATTATATGGATATTTGGATGATAATCAAAAGTACTGGGATGAACACGTAAATCAATTGACGAATGCGATTAACGCCGCTCACAATCAAATTCGAGAAAATATACCGTTCTACCTGATTCACGGTTGGGATACAAGATTGACCTTGGAAGCAACCTTACCGTTCGGAAGTACTGAACCCCTAAATTGAGATGCCCGAAGATGGAGATATGGTACGACGTGCTCGAGCGGTAGAGAATGAACAATCGGAGGTTACGATCAGGGCCGAGCTGATCGACCTAATGAAGATCAAAATTGATTGGATATCGAGCGCAGGTTGCAAATTTATTATATCTGGACCGAGTAAAGGAAGGACATGCTCAAAAGATAGCCCACGTGTGACATAAACCTTTTCGAGTGTCCAAGAAGTGCGGCGATGATGCCGTAAAGTAAACCTATGCGGGCACGCCGTACCGGATATTCCCAATTGTTCACGTGCCTAAGCTGAAACTAGTTCGCTTATTCCCAGAACGCCCAACGACTTAGTTGAATGTAAATGAGGTGATTCGTTTTGATTTTGACAAATTATTGCTGCCGAAGGACAGTTGGGAGATTAATTTTTATGCAGAGGAGTCTGAAGTAGACAAGATTGTCGGTGTGCGATTGGAATGGAAGAAGAGATATGGCCGGATACACAAGCAGTAACCAGGACGGTGGAAGGATTACAGCGATCCAACCTGTACTAATGAAGCTAACTTCAATTATAGAGCGACGTTGCAGGATATCGATCGCGATCGGGTCAGCAGACATCGTTTTGAGGCAAGGCAATTGCAGGTTGGAAAAATCCAGGGAATAGCGATAATTGGAGAGGCTGACTGGATGGGTCTATGCAGAGAAGGTGCATCGACGAGGAGGAGATGTATGGGTGCAAGGGTTGCACATGGAAATAAAATGAGATTTATGTAAATTGAGTGCGATGATCGCAGACCTTATGGTGCAATTAAGATGTATACAAAAGAGAAGGTAGAAATACAAATTATGGATGTGGTTGAATGGAAATGAGAAGATTTTAAATTCTATAGAGACTTAGATTATCGTTGATGAAGTGCACAGATAGACGGACACTGTATGTCGGTTATCAGCAGAAGACGGCTGGGAAAAAGCGGATCGAAGTAATCGGGGGCGTTTGTTGGATGGAGGGATCTCAAGCCGCAATAATTCGAGAATAAGAATCTATTGGCTGTTTAGCTGCGCTATGCTAAAACCAAATAATGCAAAACTAAAATCGAATTCCATGATACCGAGAGTAAATGTCGCAATATAGCGATCAAATATCACATCAACGGGATCGAATTTTAGTTAACAAGATCGACATAGAAAACCTAGTCCG